TTCCCAGGCTTGTTTCAAATTCCTGGTCTCAAGTAATCCTCCTGCCTCAGCCTTCCAAAGTGTTGGAGTTGCAAGCATGAGCCACCATGCTCAGCCTCTGTTCATTTTTCTGCATTGAATTTTTGTTTTTGTTTCTTCATATTGTAAAATCCCTAATGATTTATCTTCAAGTTTACTGATCCAAATCAAATCTACTGTTGAGGCCATCTCATGAATTTTTCATTTTCGTTATTGTACTTCTTCACTTGGTTCCATCTGGTTCTTTTAAATATTCTCTACTTGATAAGTCACCGTTATTATACCTCCCTTTAATTTTTAAACACGCTTTTCTTTAGTCCTTTGAAGATACTTAAAACAGTCATTTAGAAGTCTTTGTAAACTATGCCTAACATAGGGGGCCCTTCAAAGATAATTTCTATTACTTTCTTTTTTTCTACTGTAAAGTGACCAAACTTTCTTGTTTCTTTGTGTGTCCTGTAATTTTTCCGTTTCAAAGAAGACATCTTATATAATATATTATAGTGAATCCAGACACAGGTTCCCACCCTTTCCTGACTCCCCAGCCTGTTTTGTTATTTGTTTGGTCATCTGTTTGTTATGTAACTTGGGTGCGATAATTATGTGAAGTCATTTTCCCTCTCAATTTTTATGCATCGCTTATTTGATGGTGGTTGAAGGGAAGCTTCTTTAGTCAATTTTACTTCCACTGTTTACCACTGGATATGTGTGTGGCTGGGAGACTGCCTTCACATTTTAGATAATTTACTATTTCCCTCATGTTCAGCCAGAGAGGCAGAGGTTGCAGCAGTGAGCCAAGATTGTACCACTGCACTCCAGCCTAGGCAACAGACAGAGACCCTGTCTGAAAAAAAAAAAAAAAAAAAAGATGATGTGCATAAAATATCACTACAGCTCACCATTAACAAAAGATTTGCAATTGATTTTGACAAAAGAGAATACTGATTTGAACCTCAATAAGTAAAATGTTATACTCCTCTCAAAACAATTTTTTTATTCTCATTGGTAGATATGAATTACCAAATATTGTATGCAATTACTATTATGGCTATAATTTTGTGGGAAAATTATCTTGTTGCTATATAAAAACCTACATAATATCCTCAGTTTTGCCTCGGTCTGCAAATCCTAAAATGTTTGCTATCTGGCCCTTTGCAAAAACTTTTGTTGACCTGTGAACCAGAGTCTGCAGATACATCCATCATAATGTTATCAACCCCCTGTGTGATAGTTCCAAAATCCATGTCATAGGTGAGTCTGGTTTTGTTGATTGATTTGTCTCTTGATAGTGCGTTATTTTTTGTTTCATTATGTGTCTCATAATTTTTGGTTGAAAGCTAAAGCTTTATTGTGAAGGCTAGTGGAGACTTAGGTAAACACTACGTCCAGAAGTGGAGATGCCTTTTCTTTAGAGAGGAGCATTGAGACAACTGTGTCAGGTTTTGTTGTTAGTATGGCTACTCTCAAAAAGCACATAATTCAAATTTTTCTTCTTTTTTTTTTTTTTTGAGACGGAGTTTCGCTCTTGTCACCCAGGCTGGAGTGCAATGGCGCGATCTCGGCTCACTGCAACCTCGGCCTCCTGGGTTCAAGCAATTCTCCTGCCTCAGCCTCCTGAGTAGCTGGGATTACAGGCACGCGCCACCACGCCCAGCTAATGTTTTGTATTTTTAGTAGAGACGGGGTTTCACCATGTTGACCAGGATGGTCTCGATCTCTTGACCTTGTGATCCACCCACCTCGGCCTCCCAAAGTGCTGGGATTACAGGCGTGAGCCACCGTGCCCGGCCTCAAATTTTTCTAGTATTATTTTTTGCTTAGAGTGGTGGCTGGTTTGTTGGAGAGTTTTTCTCAGTAGCTGTTCAAATTGCAGCTATTGGTTTTCTCTTTGTGCCTATGCCTAAGAGAGGATATCTCTCTGTGCTTTTACCCTCACTCTTCCAGCAGTAGACTGCTGTTACTTGTTACTGGACACTTGCTATTGTGGTAATGAGGGGCTTTCTTTATTGTTCTGGCTCAGCCTCACTCTTAGGCAGGTGCTATGTTCCTGGCTCTTAGTCATGGGGCCTTCTAAGTGACCTTGCCCCTCTCCCAGAATAGATAATCTTTAAAGATTTGGAGCAGGACAGTTTCCTGCTCCTCCCCAAGAAATAGAGGGTATTTTATGTTATCTTCACCCAGCTATAATAGGCATTTACCTGTGCCCTGGAAGTGACATTTTTATGCCCCCTTTCCACCCCTGGTTGTATAGGGCTGGTGTAGTGTGTGTGTGTGTGCGTGTGTGTGTGTGTGTGGTAGTGGTAGTGGTGGTGTCAGGGTTGCTGGGAAACAGAGGATCCAGGCCAGACATCATGCCTTTCCTACAGTGGCTTTTGCTCACCTCCCCAAAGACTGCACGGTGAGCAAGGCTTTCTTTGGTCTCTTGCCCTTCCTCTCATCTTTCTCTTGAAGACCTGATGGAAGTTTGTGGAGAATGGCCTGTGAGTAGATGCAAATTTGCTTTGTGTTTGAAGCTCCCAGAAATTCTGAAGTATTACTGTAGGCCACACTGCCTTTCACAGTTCATTAAAAGATAACAGGCTACCACAATAGATGTTATTGTGGAAATGAAAAATATAAGGACTGTGGAGAGAACTGGTTACTTATTACTGAATTGAAAATTTTAAAGAAGGCAAATGGCAATCTTGAGTTTTAGTTTCTTAGATTGAAAGCTTCTATGATTTCCTGAAATAATTTCATATTCCTTGTCACTGTAGGATTGATGTAGTTGAAAATAAAATGTAGTATCTCATCTTTTGGGTTGCCTAATTTCAACATAAATGGAATTAACAGCTTCATTATAATACTTACATAAACGTCAGGGCATTGATTGGGAAAGAATGAGATCATGAAAATTTAAATGAGGCACATTTGGATAGATTTAGGACACCTGACCCCCAGCCACATTGAACCTCCCTTGCTAACAGATGCAGTGCCTCCTCTGACTTGACAAGGGTGATCCTCTCTACTTCAGAGCTACTGTATTGATTTCAACTGAGATAAGGGCATGCCAGTTCTATACCTACCTCTAGCAGGTCTAGAAGTCTACTGCCTCTAGACCTGTACCACCCCAACAAATATTCACTGCCTCTAGACCTAATAAGTACAGTCAGATCCTAGCATGCTCTAGGACAGATACAAAGGATAACCCAGTGGGAGACTTTCATGGGAAAGAACCTGGGAGATATGTATAGGATTGGATTCCTCAGACTCTTTTTTTTTTTTTTTTTTCATTTTTTTTTTCTTTTTCTTTGGATTCTTCAGACTCTTGATTAGAGAGGATTGGGTCCAAATTTAGCAGGAGTACATTTGCCAGAAATTCTGAATTCAGTTTGCTGGTGTCTGTCTGCAGATACCAAACAGGCAGGTGAAAGTGACTCTACATTAGGCTTTTCCAACCTGTAGCCCGTGGGCCACATACAGCCCAGGATGGCTTCGAATGTGGCCCAGCAAAAATTCATAAACTTTTTTAAAACATTACAAAATTTTTTTGTGATTTTTTTTTTTTTTAAAGCTCATCAGCTATCATGAGTGTTAACGTGTTTTGTGTGTGGCCCAAGACAATTCTTCTTCCAGCGTGGTCCAGGGAAGCCAAAAGATTGGACACCCCTGCTTTACACGTTTGTTTATGTTTATTTTTGGGACAGAGTCCTGCTCTGTAACCAAGGCTGCAGTGCAGTGGTGTGATCGTGGCTCACTGCAGACTGGAACCCCTGGGCTTAAGGTGTCCTCCTACCTCAGCCTCCCAAGTAGCTAGGACTACAGACACAGGCACCAGGTCAACTGATCTTTTTATTTTTTGTAGGGACAGGGTTTCTCCATGTTGCCCAGGCTGGACATGAGCTCATGACACATGAGCTCAAGCAATTCTCCCTCCTTGGCCTCTCAAAGTGCTGGGATTACAGGTGTGAGCCACCGCACCTGGTTGCTACTTGGTTGTTTTAAACCTGAACTCAGTGGTGGCCCACACTTGGCTACCAAGTGTGATATGTCAGAAATTCCTTGTTCAATGTAGAGAGAGAGTTAGGGAAAGGGGAATATTGGGATGGATTCATGATGTATGACCTGCTCGGCCACTCCTCTGATCTCCAAAAGGGCCTTAGAAAATACCCCTTTCACCAAGACTTAGAACAATAAATTGGTGAGGAGAGCACTGGCATCCTTGCAAAACACTGTCATGGTTGTCCATTTTCAGCCAGGAAAAAGTGGAACATACAGCAATTCAACAGTTGTAATTGTGGTTTTCCCTCCAACTTCAACAAAGATGAAGCCAGGGGAGGCACAGGCTTGGTAGTAGCTCTTGGGCAGCAGACAAAAGGATGAGCTACCAGAATAGACACAATAGACATCAGGGACACATAGCTAATAAGAGTGGATTGACCTGCGGTTGTCTGGTGGTGGCCATTTAAAAGATGTCCCTGCGACTGAAACAGAAGAGCAGCCCACTCCTCTGTCTAGCCTGCTTAGAGCCTTCCTACCCTGTAAAGTCCTCCTACCCCAGTATCTAGGTCTGGTGAATGAAGCCCTGATTTGAGGACACGTTATGGAGAATGAGGGCTCCTCGATGAATTCCCACAAGGCCCATCCTGACCAGCTCCTGACCAGGTACCAAGCGTGGAAGGGCAGGGGCAGCATCGCACCTGCCTCCTAAGTGCCGACCCTAAAGCGGGAGGTCTCCATCAAGGGCAGTTTCCTCAGAAGTACCCTAACCCCTTGGTCCTAGGCAGGGTTTTGGCTGGACAAAGTCTGGAATAAGGATCTGAATGAAACTGCGAGGGCGACATTTCCCATTCAGACAAGGAATCTGGCAGGGCCAGGGTCGGCCATGTGGGCTCCGAAGCCCTGGCCCCGCCCCCTCGTTCCTCGCGGGAGCCCCTGGTTCCCGCCCACCCCATCGAGCGGGGACGCTAGCCGTTGAGAGAGAGGCAGCGGGTACCCATGAAATGTGCTCTGGCGGCAGCTCCCTGGGCCTCCTGGCCTGGCTCCTGCTTCTTCAGCTCTGGCCTGGGGAGGACTGGGCGGGCAGGGCGGCGCCACTCCTCTCCCCTCTCCTCTCCCAGGACAGCCGCCAGAACCCGGAAGCGACCCAGACCCCAAGACCGCCGGCGCGCCCCCCACCCAATCTGTTTGCGTCCTTCCCAGGTGACTCACGGCGTGGGAGGCCCGGAGGCGCGGGTTGGGGCGCCACCTGGGAGCCTGCTGTCCGTGGCTCGTCCCTCCGGGAATCTGAAGCGTGGCTCCGGAGCCCCAGGGGACATGACCTCCTTCCTGGGTGTCATCGGGGCACCCGGGGGTCAAGGCCTGTGTCTTTGAGGAAGTTCTTCATCCTACACTGTCCTCACCCCAGTGTGTGGCCGAAACCTCCTGAGAATCGTGGGAGGAGAGAACGCGGAGGAAGGGAAGTGGCCCTGGCAGGTGAGCGTGAGGATCGGCCGCAGGCACATCTGCGGCGGCACCCTGGTCACCAACACGTGGGTGCTGACGGCAGCTCACTGCATTTTAAGGTGAGGCGCGGCACGTGGGGCTGGAGGTCTTCTGGGGTCAGGCCGGACCCCTCAAGCACCCAATGAGTTCCATTGCCCTGGCAGTTTGGCGACAATTAAACAAAACTCACAGTGAAGCCGGAGTGGGGGCTCTGCATTGGTAGTCTTGCTACTAGGCATGTCTAAGAGGGGCAGGCAAACCAAGGTTGAGAGTGATCAAGGAAGAGTTTTTGGTGATGGAGATGGGGTGGTAGGGAGAGTGGCCAGGGACATTGGGACTAGTTTGAGAAACATTGGAGATGTATGGAAAAGGCACAAAGGATGCTTCCCAGGGCCTCTCTTAGGGGCATGTCCTCTTTCCCACAGCCACAGACGTTTCCAGTACAGTGTCAAGATGGGAGATCGGAGTATCTATAATGAAAACACAAGTGTGGTGGTCCCTGTGCAAAGAATTTTTGTCCACCCTAACTACTCAGCAGCTCCAACCGTTAAAAATGACGTTGCCCTTCTCCGGCTCCAACATCTTGTGAATTTTACCGCGAACATCCAGCCTGTCTGCATCCCTCGGGAGAATTTCCGTGTGGAAGCTAGGACCAGGTGCTGGGTGACCGGATGGGGCAACACAAAAGAAGGCGGTGAGACTTCCAGGCAGGAAGCAAAATTGGGGCAGAGAGGAGGCACCCTTATCCCTGGAGTAGACATGAAGGCTGCAGAGAGGGGCAGGGAGGCAGACTGCCTGGTGGGTGGAAGGTGTCGAGGGGCAAGCAGTTTAGCAGCAGTCAGGGCCATGGATTCTGGTTGGCTTGGGTGACACCAGAAACTGGGTTGAGTTCTTTTGTTGCAACACAAGTATTTGGTGGCAGCCATTTAGGAAGTCTGCTGTCCTGAGAAATGGAGTTGCTCAGCCAGGAGAACAAGAAACACATGGGCAAAGTCTCCTGTGGATTTGTGGGGCACTATGCTCGACTGATTAGGGGGGATTTTTAGGTTCCCTGGAAGAGCCAGATGCTCTAAAGTTCTCCCCAGGAACAGCTCAGGGGGTGATGAGCTGTCTGCCAGTCAAAGCTGCTCCTCATTGGAAGCACCTGCCTTGGTAGGTAGGGCATTTCCTGTTCCTGGGGATGTAGAGAGAGCCTGGAGACTCCTGTTGGGGCTTGGCCCTCCTATCCCAGGGGAGAGGCTGGATTTGGTACTTCCAGGGCACTTTTTGCTTGAGAGTCTGTGATCCTGCTCTAGACAGTAAAGATGCTTTATTGATGCACAGGACACACTCTCACTATTACTACTGATACTTGGAGTGACAGATAACTTGGTTGTCGTTTCTCAGGCTGGCAATGCATTGCCCTTCCTTCTCCTGAAATATTCTTCCTGTTCCTGTCTTCGTTTTATTTCTTACATCTGCCTCTCCCCATGTCAACTTTGGGCCTCCTGTGTCAAATGAGGATAATTCTCACTGCCCTGCCTTTTTCCAGAGGGATGCTAGGTGCTTGGGAGCCTATTGCCCACTTGTGCAGATCCATACACTGATGATCTTTGTTAGGAGAGAAATCTCCGACAGAAATTCTCCAGGAGGTAGACCAATACATCCTGCGCCATGAGGAATGTAATAAGCAAATGCAGAGGCTCATGTCATCTACTAAAGATGTAATAATAAAAGGGATGGTCTGTGGCTATAAAGGACCAGGAAAGGATTCTTGTCAGGTAAGTTCATGGGTCCTTTCCCCAGCCCCAGATGGCAGAGCCTGGGTTATTTGCTGCTTCCTCTATTCATGCCTAGTTGAGTTAAGGATATTCATAGAGGGAAACCTGCCGTGGTTGCCCTAACTTGGCCTGGCCTGTTCTTTCAAAAGGGAGCAGCACTGCCTGGGGGCATTGCTGGCGTGTGGGAAAGCTGAGGTGGGTAATACTAATAACATATGCTGTACTAATTGAGGTGCTCCTATGTGGCACTCACCATGCCAATGGGGACATTAACCCTCATTATCTCAGTTAACCCACAGCACAACCCTGCAACATAAACATCACACCCTTGTACGAATGTGGAAGGTGAGATCCAAGGACATTATTTCAGGATCCTCATATGAGTACCAACACCCAGACCCATGCTCTTCCCTCTTCACCGAGCTGCCTTTCTGAGGAGGGGGCATTTGAGTTGGGTCTTAGAGGCTGAGTATTTGGATTTCTTAGAAAGAGGAAAACAGCATTGTAGGGAGAGGGAATAGCACGTATATATTCCCTCGAGGTCTGAGGGAACTTCTCATGTTAAGGGACACTTTACACATTTGGAGCAATGAGGTAGCAAATGTGGCTGAGAAGTGGGTTGGAGTCAGAGTATGTGTGGCTTGGAGTGCTATGCCAAGTTTATAGATTTTGCTCTGGCAGGACTTGGGAGGGAGGCTTGATGAGCATAATTAGATTTGCCTTTTAGATACATGACTCCCTGAGCTGTGTGGTGCATAGACTGAGGTCTAGTTTTTTTTTTTTTTTTTTTTTTTTTTTGAGACAGAGTCTCACTGTCACCCAGGCTAGAGTACAGTGGTGTGATCTCGGCTCACCGCAACCTCTGCCTCCCAGGTTCAAGCAATTCTCCTGCCTCAGCCTCCCGATTAGCTGGGACTATAGGTGCCCGCCACCAGGTCCAGCTCATTTTTTGGATTTGTTAGTGGAGACGGAGTTTCACCATGTTAGCCAAGATGATCTCGATCTCCTGACCTCATGATCTGCCCTCCTTGGCCTCCTCTAGTCTTGTTTTCATCAGCTAGGCCGTGATAAATTGAGTCTTGAGTGATGCTGGGGCAGGGAGGCAGGTGGAGGTGTTTTTGAGGCTGACCCGTCAGTTCTCGTTGACTGACTGCATGTGGGGCTGGGGGTGAGAGAGAGGCTCAGGAGGACCCTGTTTTTCTGATTGAGGCAGTTGGTCAGCAGAGGCGGTCTGGGAAAGGACATGCAGACTTCTGCTTGAGTTGGAGGGTGTGGGGCTGTCTGAGTGGAACTGAAAGTGTGGAGTGAACTAGCTATGTAGGTTAGGAGTTGTAGAGAAACTTCAGGCTAAATATAAGGATTTAGGGGACTGCCATGCAGAGGTGATATTCAAGACGTTTAACAACCGCTATGGTTTGGAAAATGAGCAGTCATTTTCTCAGAGCATATTAAAAATTTTCCCTTAACTTTTTAGTTCCCATGTTCACATATTCAGTTGTCCTATTCACAAACACCTGGGCGGTGGGGCCTTTGAGGTGCCAGGGGATGCCCTATGTGTGCCTGTCTCCCCCGCACCCTGTAGTACAGTCTGCTCTGACATAGAGCCTTTTCAATTTCTGAAGTTTGTTTCTTTTTCTTTCTCCAGGGAGATTCTGGGGGTCCCTTGGTCTGTGAATATAATGACACATGGGTCCAGGTAGGGATTGTGAGCTGGGGCATTGGCTGTGGTCGCCAAGGGGTGCCTGGAGTTTATACAGAAATTGGCGTCTACAGTAAGTGGCTGATTACAGTGGTGAATCAGGCTACCTGTTTGTATCCAGCAGTGTTCCTCAGCTTACTCCTGCATCTGGTGCTGCCTCTGGGCATCCCGGTGGCCCTGTGATCACCCCAGCCCACTCCCCTTTTGTTTCTGAGTCTCATACTAGGCCTCTCCTCCAACCTCCCACTCCTTCTCGATATCCTTTCTGCAAATCCCAGTTGGAATCCACAGGCCCTCTGGAGATCCACACAATAGAGCATAGTGGGGAGACTGGGGCCTGGAAAGTGTCCCTGCCTGGTGCCCTGGTCACCTGCCTCAGCTGTGCCTGCACCAGGGCTGTGCTCTGCCTGGTGGGAAGGAAGGATGAACCAATTCCAGCTAGAGGACCAGCCGCCCTGCCAGGGGGCCACGGTGACTCTTCAATACCTGGGGGAACGTCTATCAAGGAAGAGACATCATCAACCCTTGAAGCAAGCGTTAGACATGGTTCTGGTTTTAGGACTCCCACCTGAGCCTTTGTGAAACCAACCAGCTGGGCAATTGCTCAGAGAGAGTGAAGGAGGCATTTCCAGGTCCCTGCAGAGGTGTGAGGCCTGGGACTTCCACTCTGGCTCAGTTGTCTGGGGCTGGGAGAAGTTCCCCTGCAGCCCGGTGTGGGTCCATCTGTGAGTAGACAGCCTCTGCCACACCAGCTCTCTTGGGGCAACCCATTCTTGTTATCCCCTTCCTCAGTGCCCTAGTGGCTGCTTTCAGGTTGTGTTGAGACAGTTATGGAGTGTGGAGTTTTCAGAAATCAACTGAATAAATGTTTGGAGAATCCTGTGTTCTGCATGTCTACTGGCCTGGGTGTTGGGGACGCTGAAGAGAACTTACGTCACATTAAGCTTAGGAAGATGCTGATGATTCTTTTTAAACTAAAGAGTGAGAGAGGAAGTCTCTGCCTACGCAGTTGTGAGTTGGATGAATGATTTTAGACAGTTGGGTTTTGCTGCCTGTGCTCTCCATGGCCATCAGCATTTCCACATGGAGTTTTGTAGCCGAGTTTGCTAGTTGTTGCATCTGGGAAGGAGGAAGTGAGAGAGACGAAACAAGAGAGGGGTCAGGGCACTACATTTCAAACTGTAACCTCCATTTGCTGCCTATTTCTGTCCCTCTTTCTCCAAGCTTTGAGCACCAGATCACTTTAATCAGGCTGTATGGAAAGCAGAGGGCTGAGGGTTAGGGAGATGTTGGGTTGGGGTAATTAATAATTCTGGCTCATTTCCCTCACTACCCTATGGTCCCAGGGTCTTTCTCTGGTATGATGCAGAGCACACTACTGCTTCCAGTTTCCCTCTTTGTTTATGAAACTTTGAAGTTGCCTCCTCCTTTTAGGAGAGGCACCAACACCAGCTTGGCTGTAGAGACCCCAACCCAGACGGTACCCAAGGTGTTAAGAAGCAGACACCTAGATAGAACAGCAAAGTGGGACTATCCGGGGGCCAACAGCCTTCTGAGCTGAGAGCCTCAGGGGGCTGACAGCATTCTGGTCTGAGGGCCTTGAGCAGAATCTGACCCATATATTTATTCTCTCTGAACAGGTGATTATTATGAACAAACAGGTATTCTGTGTTTTCTCATAGAACCAAGGTAAACTAGGTAGGCAGCTGGTGCCTGCTTACCACTGATCAAGGACAAACTAGAAAGTATTCTCCACGAGGGAGCCACAGGGGCAGGGTCACATATTCCATGCTTAAAGAATTGTTTTAACTGGTGTATGAAATGCATATACAGTACTGTTTTGCTTCTCTAGAATGCCCCAAGTAGTTTTCCACTTGAGGTGGGGGCGGGCTAGGTTTTCCTTGCCACTGTTCTTACCAAACAATATAGTCTATTGTATACTCAGCATTTCTCAACAATCATACACTCAACATTTCTCAACAATCATACACTCAGCATTTCTCAACAGAGAGGATTAGTGTGTTTTGCATATGGGAAGAAGGTGCATGTGAATATTTACGTGAATAAAGATTGGTAGAGGCTGGACAGTGGCTCACACCTGCAATCCCAGCACTTTGGGTGGCTGAGGAAGGCAGATTGCTTGAGCCCAGGAGTTTGCTGCCTCTAGAATTTTTCTGCAGTCTCCTGGATATGGTGCCATCCCTATTAGAATCAAGAGGGGTCCAGCATGACATCTTATGCCAATACAACCCTCTCTTAATTACCATACCTTTACAGTAAGTCTTGAAATCCAATAACTATCTGCCTTAGTTAATTCTAGGTTCTATATGGATGAATCTCAAAAATGATGTTTGGAAAAAATATGTGGAGGATAAGAAGCCAGACACAAAAGAGCATTGGCTGCATGGCTCCATTTACATGGCGTTCAATAACATGCAAATCTAATCTGCTAGTAATCAGAACAGTGGTTATCCACCAATCTCTACCCTTTTTTTTTTGAAACAGAGTCTGACTCTGTTGCCCAGACTGGAGTGCAGCAGCATGATCTCAGCTCGCTATACCCTTGACCATGCAGGCTCAAGCAATCTTCCCACCTCAGCCCCCCATGTAGCTGGGACTACAGGGATGCACCAATATGCCCAGCTAATTTTTGTACTTTTAGTGGAGATGGGCTTTCACCATGTTGTCCGGGCTGGTCTCAAACTCCTGAATACAGATGTGGTAAACATTTCATTAATTTTTTAATAAAATTTGATTATAATGTATTAATTGGTAGAGTCCTCATGACTTAAACACTTCCCATTAGGCCCATCTCCAAATACTTTTGCTTTGGGGATAAAGTTTCCAACATATAAACTTTGGGGAACACAGTGAAACCATAGTAAGGGGTAAGGTGGATCCTGGCTAATCTGACCTAACAGGATTCTTGCTTAAGATAGGCCAGAGTGATCAGACATCACCTGGGAGATGGGAGAGCATGAGGAATCTGATCAGATAATGAGGATAATCAGATATCAAGAATGGGAATTCTGGCAAAATGGACTTAGCAGAGTTCTTTTGCTAAAAGTAGATTTTACAAGGAAGTGCACAGACAGACCTAGGAGAAAGTTTAGAAGACTGATTCAAGTTTGGCCAGGCAAATAACTTTTGTCACCACTCAAAATCTTATATATGAATGTTTATTGCATCTGTATTTATAATAGCCAGGATCTGGAAACAATCCAAATGTCAACAGTTGAGTGATAAACAATGAAATAGTACTCAGCAATAAAAAGAAGAAAGTTTTGTCAATTTAAAAATAAATAAAAAGTGAATAACATTTAAAAAATGAGAAAAAGAATAAAGATAAACTATGAATATACACAATGACATGGATGAAATTTAAAAAAGCATTATGTTGAGTGAAAGAAATCAGAATCCATCAATTTAGATTGCAAGCAGTCTTCCAAGTTAGCCGAACAATTGAGGACTTTCCTATTGCTGGTTAGGGACTGTCCCTCATCACACGTTTGTCCTTTATGACTTCTTTGGTGCAAGTGCTATGTCTTCACTTAATGACCTTTAAGGTTCCTCCTGTAGGTCAACAGCATGAGCTTTAAAAGCTAGCTTTACTGGCTGGGCGTGGTGGCTCACACCTGTAACCCCAGCACTTTGGGAAGCCGAGGTGGGCAGACCACCAGGTCAGGAGATCAAGACATGATGAAACATGGTGAAACCCCATCTCTACTAAAAATACAAAAAATTTAGCTGGGCATGGTGGTGGGTGCCTGTAATCCCAGCTACTTGAGAGGGTGAGGCAGGAGTATTGCTTGAACCCAGGAAGCAGAGGTTGCAGTGAGCTGAGATTGTGCCACTGCACTCCAGCCTGGCCGACAGAGCGAGACTCCGTCTAAAAAAAAAGCTAGCTTTACCTTTCACACATATTACTTTCCTGCAGGTCACCAGTTGCAAAACAGAAATTTCTGACGACTGAGGACTTGGGTCTGAGTACCCAGAGGAGTAATGAAAAGGAAAGAACAAAGATTCCCAAGTTCCCCAACTTCTTTTTTTCCTTACATTTCTATGTGATTGCCTTATCTAAGAAAGTCAGGTGTCTCACAGCAAGGGGTATGGGAAGAGAAAGGAGTACCCAAAGAGATTCTGAGATCAACTTCATCACCAGATATATTAGAAACTTATCAAAATCTGGCCAACTCTTGACTTTGCTTAGGCATTTTGTTTTAAACAAAAAGAGTGATGTGGAAATTTCAGATCAAGAGATCTAGAAATCTCTAGATAATATTCTATTATCTATGTTTTAAAAGACACAAAGTGATATTGTAGGGTCATTAAGGAATATCCAGTAAAGAACTTGCCTTCTCACTATAAACAATTAGAAAACTAGACAGAATAAAATAAATAACTTCAGATATCAGGATGATAGGCAGTATAGGACTGTGATCCTAGAGAGAAGGAAAACAAGTAAAGTGAGTTCTATAATTATATTGGCCTCCTTTGTGGAGGCAATTTTCAGATGGCACAGAGGGAAACCAAAACAGAACACTGATGTCATTAAGAGAAGGAGACAGAGATTGGAGTTCAGGAAGGCTGGGTATCTGTAGTTTGCAGATCAGAATACTGTACAGCAGAGGTTGGCAGACTATGACTGTGGACCAGTTCAAGACATAGTCTTTTTTTGTACAGGCCTAAGATAAGAATGATTTATATATTCTTAAAAGATTTGTTTTTTAAAAAAGAATATAGCAGAGACTATGTGTGGTCTAGAAAGCCTCAAATATTTACTATCTAGCTATATAGAGAGAAGTTTGTCAAACCCTGCTATATAGGATGAAGATATGCAGAGAAAGTTCCAGAAATCTGCAGAGCACTCCCTTTTAGTCTTTGGCTGAATGTTAATTTGCACATCAATAGGGTAAATTTTGAGGTGACTATGCAAAGAACAAATGCCAGGGAGCCATGAGCTGAGCAATTCTCAGAACTCACACAGTACTGGGAGACATTCAAGTTTCATCCAACTAGAGGGGAGGGATCTCACTGAATACTTGGGTGGTCAGTAGAGATCCTACAAGATTCATACCTTAATATCAAGGGTAAGGTAGCTGATATGGTTTGGCTCTGTGTTCTCACCTTGAATTGTAATCCCATGTGTCTATGGAGGAACCTGGTAAGGGGGTGGTTTCCCCCATGCTGTTCTCATGATGGTGAATGAGTTCTCATGAGATTTGATGGTTTAAATGTATTTGGCAGTTCCCCACTTGCTTGCTGTCTCTTCTGCCACCATGTAAGCCATGCCTTGCTTCCACTTTGCCTCCCACAATTATGTTTCCTGAGGCCTCCCCAGCAATGTGAAACTGTGAGTCAATTAAACCTCTTTTGTTTGTAAATTACCCAGTCTCAGGTAGTTATTTTTTGCAGTTTGAAAATTGACTAATACATAGAATTGGTACTGGCAGAGTAGAATACTGCTATAAAGATAACCTGAAAATGTGGAAGCGACTTTGGAACTGGGTAATGCATAGAGGTTGGAACAG